ATTTTATTGTTTTTTATACTTCTAGTTCTAGCTCTGGTAATATGTATGGAATAACTGAGGATGAATGGTTAGTTATATATAGTGTAAAAGAGATGTTCTAGCTCTGGTAATATGTATGGAATAACTGAGGATGAATGGTTAGTTATATATAGTGTAAAAGAGATGTTATAAGTTTTTTATGATGCATGGAATAACTGAGGATGAATGGTTAGTTATATATAGTGTAAAAGAGATGTTATAAGTTTTTTATGATGCTACTATGTTATTATATGATTGTTATTATCCAACTATTATTCAAGTTGCTTTACAAGTTTTAAATATTCAAACTTTTTTTAATAATTATTATATGGATAATTATTTTAAAATATGATTTTTTTAAATGAAAAGTAAATTTAATAAGTATTTTAGGCATATTCTTATTAATTTTGGTTTGGATCTCTTATTGATCCATGTTTGAAGGATGTTAGCCTTCGAAATTTATTAAATTCTTTGTATGGTAACATGATAATAGACACTGATGATTGTCAAACTATTACTGCACGTACTCATCATAATACTATTAGAACTTATTTTTAAAAATTATATGATGAGTATGCAGCTAGATATGATGTAAGTACACATCAGCTTACAGCTTCTGCTTCTACGAGTTCAAGTCGGGCAAAGGTAAAAATTTTGATGAGGAATTATTGATAGCTCAGCTAATTGGTGGATCTGGATCATCAATGAAAGTTTCTGAAATTGAATAATATTTAACTGTATCTTTAGTTAAAAGTCAAAATAATAATTTCGATTGAAAGCACCCTAGAGGGGGTGAATAGGGTTAATGCTAATATAATCCGATTAATGTTAATTAAAAACTTATTAACAAGTTATCCTAACAAATAAGATATGCAATAAATTATTAGCAATGATAAGCAATATAAACAAGGGTAAACAAAATAGTGGACAATATAAACAAAGAGGCAATGGCTAAAAATATGAATAAAAAGAGTGCGCCAATGCAAACTCCAACAAGCAATATGATCACGGAGTTCGGACCTTCCGTCCTACGTCTCCGCTCCCCACTCTTGGGGAGAATCCACTATCACACCGGGCTTTTAACGCTCTCCCGAAAAAAATTATACCTCACAATTGGTTTTCTAGCTCAGCGAAAACTTTACAATCTCACACTCTTACAATCCCACTTTATACCCTCTAAGTATTGGTCTCTAGCTCGTGTCTCCCTCAAGTGTTAGGAATTACAACCTACCTCTAGGTATTACCGCCTACCCACTCCTCTTGGGACGATCTCGTCTCTCACCACACACTCCTCTTGGTGTACAAGTGTATTACAAAGTGATCTACACAATTAAGGCACAATAACAAGATTTATTCTCTATAATAGATGATAACTCTTTGAAAGTTCACTCTCAATGTCACAATCCCATAACCCCAAATTATACTATGTATGCAAATATAATAAGCTCAATGTGGGTGTGTGTAACAAAGAGATTAAATAAAACAAACTAAACTCAAACAAATACTAGCTTAATAAAATGATAATCAAACAATATAAATGTAAAGCTAGATTGAGTTTAGAAAACCTTTTCTATAGATAACAAGAGGGAGAGAGAGATGAGTTGAAGCTCAAACACAAAAGGTGATCTCCTCTTCTTCTTGTGAAAATTTCTTCACAAACTAAACTCTTGAAACAAACTGAAACAAACATTTAAACTATCTTAAAACTTGTTTAAAAACTTTCTTCTTATATAAATGAACTGAGGATATATGAGGGTATTTATAGGAAACCGAAAAGCTAAGAAGAAATCAACAAAACCCAGCAAAAAGATAAAAACAGAAAACTAGAAAAAAAACTAGCCGTTGGATTGTCAGTCGACTGATATTGTTCATCAGTCAAAACTGATGAGTTGACCGTTACAAGCCAACAACACATCATCAGTCGATTGATGAACTCGTCAGTCGACCAATGAGTCGACCAATGACCTTGTCAGTCAACTGAATAAGAAACATAAACTTTTTGTTATTCCAGACGAGATCTTCAGTTGACTGAACATTTCCATCAGTCGACTGATAACACATTATCAGCCAGTTATGAATAGTAAAGCTGATTTTCAAACTCCTTTTAAAAATAGAAAACAAATTCAGAAAAATATAAAACTTTGAGAAATGATTGTAAACATGAAAATAAACATGTTACAATAAATTAGGGCTTATATTCAAACTTGTACTAGGTTTTTATTGAGTGTAATACCGATGGAAAATTTTGATGGATAAAAAGACAAATCAACTATAGTTACACATGAGATCTTAACCTACATTATTTTGTTAATAAGCTTTTAATAAGCCCTAACTTATTTGATAGACTCCTTAATAAATTTCATAAAAGTATATATATGAGATCTTAGCCTACGTTATTTGATAGACTTAAAATAATAAAAAGACAAAACTAAAGTTTAATGGTAACTATAGTATAATTTTATGTGATAGAAGCAATCACATAAGCATACAAAAATACTAAAATTTTGCATGATAATTCATTCTAAAAATTATTAATTTTACTCAATATTAAGTTATAGCATAAAATGTTCAAAAAATGTTATCATTTATTCTTTTTGTTTCATATTCTAGTTGAGCCGAGATCAATCTTTCTCCACATTTATCTTTTTATTGGACAATTCTAGAGTAGCGTCTTCATCATCTACATCAATTGTGATATCATGTTGGAGTTGAATTTTTTGAAAATAATCTCTTCAAATAATAAAGTCTAACACCAAAATCAATCCATTTGTCTTCTGATCCCCCTCAAAAATCATTACCCTAATCCATGAAATGAGTTTGTACATAATAAAGAACAAAAGACAATGTCAAGAGACAAATAAGAGAAAATAAGGAATTGAAGAAGAATCGCTAGATTTGTACATGATAAAGAGCAAAATACAAGATAAGAGTTCAGAAATATATTAGGATATACTTGGATCAATTAAATTATATTATTACTCATAATTGATATGCAAAAGAGACAAAATGTATTGACAATCTTAACTATAAAATAGACTGTATGTGCCCTCTAACATAATTTTTTAATGCAAGCAACCCCCAAGATTAATTTTGAAAATCTCTTGGTTTTATGGAAGAGTTTGGGTGTAAAGAACAAATATTAAATTATCTAATCCGTTTAAAGTAGGATCATATAAGTTATCCCCATACATAAAATTTATTTTAACCAAAACTCATATATAAGTATTATAATTAGCATTGAGATCAAAGATACGTGTGTGATTCTCTTTGACTTTTATACTAACAATATCTATTTAAGTAATAATAGTATAATTAAACTTTATGATCTAAAAAATCAAACGTACAATATAATTAATTATTTTAAAATTATCTAATCTAATCTAATAATAAGAAAATAAATAAAAAAACTGTGAAAGTTGTTGCAATTTTATAATTCATAATTCTTAAACAATCTAGTCTATTCTAATAAGAAGAAAATAACAAAGACAAATACTTGTTGAAGGAGATAAAAGTATTGTAAAAATTATTATAATTTCTCGATCTGAAAAAAATCAAATATACAATATAATTAATTGCTTAAAAATAATCTAATCTAATCTAATAACAAAGGCACATGCCTGTAGAAGGAGATAAAAGTACTATAGAAATTATTATAATTTCTTTGCTTATATTTGTTGGTATATGATATTACATGTGAGAGGATAACAATTATAAATAGAGTTATATTTAAATAATAATAGTATAATTAAATTTTAAAACTAACTATGCAGTACTTTGAACTACTTTAATTTTAGTAGGTGAGAGATCACCACTTTATGTGTAATTATTAATCATGTAGCATGTGATTAATTATTTGTAGATTGACATTATTAATCATGTAGCACATGAATAGTTGTTTACAGTTTGATCATTAATCACATATAAGAGCGAGGCGGTAAATTAGACATTTAATAAATCGTCTAATTAACGTAAGTGTACCGTGAACTACTTGAATTTTAGTCGGTGAGAGATCGTCATGTTGTGTGCAATTATTAATCATATAGCATGTGAATAATTGTTCACAGTTTGGCATAATTAATCATGTAGCACATGAATAATTATTTACAGTTTGATCATTGATCACATATAAGAGCGAGGGGGGTAAATTTGACATTTAATAAATCGTCTAATTTACCTAAGTTTCTCTTTCATTCAGGTTTACATTTTAATTTAAACCATGTCCTTATCTTCATACTATGTATATCCAATAAGAATTTATCAATTTATCAACTTACTCTTACTTAATGGATTAGTATTTGAATTCCAAGGTAGTCATACCAGCGATTTGGAGGAGATCTCTCGAAAAGTATTTAGTGCTCATTTCAGTCAACTCTCCATTATCTTTCTTTGGCTGAGTGGCATGTACTTCCATTACGCCACCCAGAGATGTGGATCATCCAAGGCACATTAGCATGGCGTACTCCTCATGTTCGATTATAATATAGTAATGATAATAATAGCAAAATAATATAATGAAAAATAAAAAAAATAGTTAAATAAATAAAAAAGAAAAATAGATAAGATATCTACGAATTTGATCAGTAATTCAATTTAGATAATGATTTAATGATTTGAAACAGAGATCTTATCTCCAATAGAAATAGATAGATATAGAAAAAAGAGATGGGTGGTGAGGGCCAATATTAACTATCATGAGATCTTTTCTTGTAGCCGGTAACAGCTTGGACTAGGATCGTGGGGATCGTCGGAATACTTCGTATCAACAAATAAGATACTTGGTATATCAATATTGATTAGATTCGAAATCTATTATTGAATTGCTCATTCAATGGGTATTTTTGTCTACTAAAAGATTTTCTCGAACTCGTGATTTTAAAGAGAGTAAGATATGATGTTTGAATAAACTTAACTCCCCCACCTAAATTTATCACCTCATTATTAACCCAAACCCCTTCATATAAAATCTAAACAACGAACTCTCCCAAAATAACAAACAAACGCGTACCTCAATGGAGACCGCCAACAAACTCGCGCTATCTTCTTCTTCTTCTTCCCTCCCTCTCTCCTCGAACCTCCAAGAATTCCCCTCCCTCTTCACCAGCCTCAACACTCTCCTCCTCTCCTCCCCAAACCCTAGCAAACCCTACGGCAAAAACCCCAGACCCCCCTCATTCTCCTCCCTCTCCCTCTCCCCTCGACGAAACCCTAACCCCAGCACATCCCTCCTGAAATCCCTCTCCCTCCTCGACCGATCCCTCATAGGCGCCGGCGGCGCGCAGATCGCCGGCGCCTTCACCTACGTCTGCCTCCTCCCCATCGACACATCAAAACCAAGCTCCAGACGAAGGGCGCGCGCCAAGGTCTACTCCTCGCCCCTCGACGTGCGCCAGTCAAGACTTCAGATCCGATGGGATATCTAAGGGTTTTACCAGCGGCGTGTCGGCGGTGCTCGTCGGGTCGTCGACGAGCTCGGCGATTTACTTCGGGACTTGCGAGTTTGGGAAGGCGATGTTGGGGAAGCTGCCGGCTTACCCTCCGATTTTGATTCCGCCGACCGCGGGGGCGATGGGGAATGTTGTGTCGTCGGCGATTATGGTGCCGAAGGAGTTGATTACGCAGAGGATGCAGGCTGGGGCTGCTGGGCGTTCTTGGGAGGTAATGGTGGATGCATTTGTTGAGCTCGTGATTGAATTTTGATTTTTTTTGGGTGTTTCTTGGTGTTGGAGGATTTTGTAAGATTGCCCTTTTTTTAGAGAACTAGGAAAACTCATCTCTACTACCCCCAATGAAATCCAAACATGCTGTTTACGCAGTGTGGGAACCCCGACATCCCCCTGTGCTTCTGCACGCTCATGCGAGCTGGTTGTGCACTGATTGAAAACGGCAATCCCAGCATAATCTCCTTTTCTGGACTAGTCCAAAGCGAACAATACTGGTGTCACCGCCCGCCCTTAGTACTCGATTGTAAATGGAAGAGGAGGTTGGCTATGATACCATTTATAATGGGCATAGGAGAATTCACCACTAAAAGCTAGCAAGCTATTAGAGAAAGGCAACCCAAATATCTTATGAACCCATAATTGACTCCCAATTTAGCCAATGTTGGACTAAGTGGAGCCTAACAGCTTAGCACACTCGAAAGGATCAATGTTTTTAGTTATCTTTCAGAAAATTAAACAATATAGAGGATAGCTCTGCTTCATTTTTCTGAATGTGGGAGAAAAGCTAGAAGCCTAAAACTGATTATTGAATTGAAAAAAAAAGGATTAGAATTTGAAACAAGGTAATTTAATTTTTTCGGTTAACCCATGAGCAATGAGAGAGATTTCAACAATAATCTAATTAACTTAGTGTAGGGTGAATTGATCATGGCAAAATTGAGTGGCCTTCAATGCTTCTTAATTTCATGTCTGGACTTTTAGATTTTAAGGCTAGATAGTGATTATGACCCGTTTTTAGAGGGTTCAATACTCAGATTTTGATTTTCTGCAGTTTTTGCCTCTTTATGGGTAGTTATTGCAGTTTCCATTGTTGTCATTATCATTACCATCATCGTTAAGCCTTTTCTCATCGAAGCGGGACCAACAACTGAGCTTGCGTTAAAGTCAACAAAGATTCATGAAGGAATCAATCTAGTTTTCAAGTGTGGTTGTCTACTTAATATTCAACCTTTTTTATGATTTTTTTTACTGCTTCGAGTATCATACGATGTAGAACTTCAGGTCTAGTTATTGTGCATCAACTTACCTTTTCCAACCAGTCTCTTAAGTCCAACTTTCTGTAGATTAGTGATGACAGTTATCTAGGGGCACAAATACACCGAAGAGCCATAAGGTATCACACTTCAAGTCCTGTTTGGCTTAAAATTTTCTTTTGATGTAATCTATTAAGTTGAACTACAGTTTTCTAATGTAATTTGCATGTCTTTAACTGTAATTTTTTAAACTGCAATTTTAGTGACTTTGTGACTGTATACAAATAGAGTTATCTCAAACCCTATTTTAATCTTTTTTTTTTTCATCTTTGGAGTTAAGAAAAATCAAGTTGGGCTAGAGTTTTAAGCTACAATTGAATCTAGCCTAGTTTATTGAAATTGTGAGTGGTAATCAGTAAGTCCTCAGGTTGTTTTATTGAAGTAAAGAACTTAAAATAAAAAAAGACATTGGCTAAGAAAACTTAATGGAAAATGTGACATGGCCTCAATAGTTGACTCTTTTTAGGTGAATCTGCTCATAATTTTTCACTTAATATATTGGAGAGAACTATTTTCTTAGAGAAGGGTTACATGGTAGAACCAATTGCGTGCAACTCCTTATGCTGCATTTGGAACATGCCTGTGTCTTGTTTGATGAAGTTGTATAAACATATGGTTTTTGATATTTGTCTTAAATATACAATATATAATTACTAGATATGCGAGATTTGTTGTAAATAGAACTGTCTGTTTGTTGATGTGACCAAACTGGTTAAAAATCAGTTTGCACTGGACTTCTCCAATGATCTAGTTTCTTTAGAGCATGGCACTCACTTTGGGCATAACTCAAGTACCCAGAAATATTCCATTTGTGTAAGCACTGTTTTGGGCTTATAGCTTCAGAATGTAGTCCATCAAATCAAATAAGAGTGACTATTTCCTTCATCAAACTAAACACATGTACAATATGTTTGCACTGAAGTAGATTTCTACTTGTATATTGCTTTAGGGCATTCCACTTCATTTTATTAGTTTATTTTTTGTTGATAATCTTGCTAGAGTTTTCAGATAAAAGCAATATTGCAACAGGTATTGCTGAGAATCCTTGAAAAAGATGGGATCTTGGGTCTCTATGCTGGATATTCTGCTACACTGTTAAGAAACTTGCCTGCGGGAATTTTGAGCTACTCGTCGTTTGAGTACTTGAAGGGATTTGTCTTGCGAAGTACTGGCAAAGGCAACCTCGATCCCATAGAGAGTGTGTGTTGTGGAGCTTTCGCAGGGGCAATATCGGCAAGTCTGACTACACCATTGGATGTAGTCAAAACGAGGTTTATGACCCAAGTTCAGGCTCAAGGTGCTAATAAGATTACAGAAATGGCGAGGCAAATATTGATGGAGGAGGGGTGGAAAGGGTTGACGAGGGGAGTTGGACCTAGGGTTCTTCATAGTGCTTGCTTTTCAGCGATAGGGTACTTTGCGTTCGAGACGGCAAGGATGGCAATTCTTAATCAGTATATTGAGCAGAGGAAAGAGGCTTTGATCGACGAGGCAGTCCAAAATCAATAGATGGAATTGACAGAAGGTGATACTTCTATTTTTGTGCGTTTTCAATGTTCTTAGAATAATGCTTAGTGCTTGCATTTTCATGATGAAATTCTTTGATTGGCTAGTAAGTTGAGGCTAGTACTGTGTTCATGTTAAATTTAGATAGGGCCTTGTTGATTTGGAAGAAGTTCTGTTCTGTAATCACTCTTGTTATGATAATAATTTGAATAAGGTGTACTTTGCATTTGAAACTGCAAGGCTGGCAATGCTTAACGAGTAAATTGAGCAGTCAAAAGAGGCTTTTATCAATGAGACAGTCCAAAATCAGTAGTGGAATCAAGATAAGATGATAATTTTTTTTTGGGTTATGTCGTCAGCTTCGAACTTTCATGATGAAATTCTTTCAGCAGCTGGGTAAGTTTAGGATCTTAGGATTGTATTCATCTTGAATTTCAATATTTAGCCTTGTTAATTTGTAAGAATTCAATCACTTTTGCTGTGTAAATAATTGAAATAAGGTGCAATTTGCATTTGAGACTACAAAGATTGGCAGTTCTAAATCTAGTGGAATCAACTATCAAGACAGGTGATACTTATTTTGTATTATGTTGTCATGTTGCATCCCCCATGGGTTTCAATAATTAGCCTTGTTGATTTGGAAGAAATTTTATTTCGATATATTCGTGCTCTGTTATCACGTTATACTATACTATATACTAAAAAGAATAGTGATTAACTAAAATTAACGAGAAGTAGATAGTGATTAGCTACAATTAATAGTGATTATTTTAGTGTATTTGCAGGTTTTGCCAAGCTAAACCGAGTAGCTCACCTGGCTGGAACCTTACCTTGTAAGCAGTGGTTTCTGGTTCAAACACCATACTTTTTTCGTTCCCCCACCCCTCTTTTGGTTAAATATTAGCCTCTTTCATCTTCCTTATTTTGAAATTAGTCCCTCAAATCATGGAATTTGCTACTACGTCATCAATTCTTAAGTTATTCAAAGTTAGTCCCTCAAATCATTGAATTTGTTTGTGGGTTCCCCAATTCTTAAACTATTGTCAAATTAGTCCCTCCTATCAACTATAGAAGTAGCAAGTAGAGGGAAGTTAGTCACTCCAATCATCAAAATTTCTATTATGTCCCAATTCTGATTAGTTGTTTCAACATAATCCATTTAATAGTTAATTATACTACTTATTTGAGGAACAAATTTTAAAATAACTTAAGACTAGGGGTACTTAATAGCAAGTTCAATGATTTGAGGGATTAATTAAATATTTCATGTGAACTACATATAACTCAACAGTTTAAAAAAAATAAGAATACTAATACACATGAAACACTATTTTGAATCATTCATTTAAATCTTAACATATTCTAGCACTAATTATACCCTATACTAATCTAACGTGAACTACTATAGCTCAACAATTTTAAAAAAATAAGATTAAGAAATCATACATAGCTAACATATTATAATACAGAGTTTCTACCTGCTGATGTAACTTTCTAATGGTACACCCACTGCCTTTTGTGTACCATATACACATCATACACTAATGTACTCCATGCCAAATTAATCAAGTAATAATAAGACATAAGCAATCCTGGGTTTGCATATATATATAAACAAACAATCATAATGTCTTATAAAACCATTGTCCATAATATCTCTAGTGTCTAAGGTCTCAACTAACATAAACGACGTAGCCCATAAAGCTAAACTGTACTGCACACTAGCCGGTCCTCATCTATTCTCTCAGCTCTTCTCTTTATCAATAGATTCCCGAGCAATTGACTCACAAGGACACAATTATCACAACCTCCTCCTTCCCTTAGTTCTTAATGAAATGGCACATGATCTAGATTTTATTCGATTTTCCAAACTAATTTGGGCCTATCGTATAACTAGCAATCAACAAGTTATCACTTTAGAGAATCACATCATCCTCTACATATCGCGCTACAATCAAATTCTCCAAGAATCTTTATAACGAGACTGTATCCAACAGTATTGTGTATCTTGCCATATATCTGCTCCACATGGAACAGGGCTTTGCACTATTGTTTCTCACTGCTTTAAGGAATGGCCCCGTCATTCAGTAAGAGAGCATAGCTGGACATTAATAGTTGCCCATCCAGGTTGTCAGCCTTCTGGACATCTAAAGATCTCTATAGGTGAGAGTTTGTGCTATCATAGATAAGGTGCACTGTGAATCAAATATTAGAGGATTCTCTTGACTTGTCCCTTAAGTCATACCAGGATTGAATCGACGCCTGTTCATCTATCCTACTGCAAATAATTTTTGATTATTGTATGCATATAAGACAATCAACTACACTCCTTGAAGGGATGCTTAAAGTAAGCTTTTTCTCTACTTTGATGTCAGGACATTGCTCTATCATTGGAGCCCAACTCTTAGCATTGGATCCGCAATGGTCTCCATGCTGCACCCACTCAGCAATATGCTATCAGTATATGATGACAGATCTCAAACTTCTATTAGCTTAGTATAGGTGGACATAACCATCATGATCTATCATCTAGAAACCATGATCTAACATAGTCTAATAGGATAAAAAACACTACATAATAAAAAAAAGTATATTTGAAGACATAGGTAGGAAAGATAGGTTGATCCATGCAGATCACTTTTTCCTATTCTGATTAGGTAAAAGGTTTCTTGATGTCCATCTGGACTAATTCAAGATATATTTACGTCATATGAGTCAATATCAAGCGAATAGAGTCAATTCTCACCTCCGAAGAAAACATATCTTTTGTTAGTCCATCCTACTACTTGGGTGTACTCTTCGGCCATCAAGCATGTCCTACATCGTTTAAATGTCTCGTCCTATTTGACCTTTGTTTTTAATAGTCTCGCATTCAGTTGGAATATTCACCAAGTACCAAACTTGATTCTTTCTCATGAACTCAAGCTCCCCATACATTGTTGTTATTGACTCTTTCGCTGTAGACCTAGAAATAGTATCCTCATATGAGTTGAGCTCTGCAATAATATGCAGTGCTTTCATGAACATTTTCCCATGGATCTAATAATATCATCTTGGTACTAGTCCATGGAACAATCTCTGAGGAATTAAGATTCCATAGATAGCTCTCAGTCATTCAAAAAAATATTTCGCTCTCACTGTTCCCAGTTGATAGAGGAACCAATTTCTCTTCCATTACTAGATCTATGATAGTAGTGTCGATCTCATATGAACCCTCTTAAACTATTTGTTTTTTATGCAAGAAATCCTCCCCAAGAAACTCAATATACTATGATTTTTTCAGCCACAGTCTTATCATATTTCTCACAGGTAAACACAACCCCATGTCTAAAATAGTGTATGGAAATACACTTAAATATTTTATGGTCTAAAGTCCTCATCCAATGAAAAAGCAGTGTATGAAAGCAACATTCGTACATGGACGTAGTGATCCAACACAGGCTCTCGGTCGTCCATGACTCATAGGGTATCGACTGTACCGATCTCGAAGATACATGGTTCATAATGCATGTCGCTATCAATAGCACATCTTCTCAAAACCTAATGGGTAGTTATTTTGAACCATATCTAGTAGAGTTATATTTCTCATTTTTGCAATATCATTTGTTGCAGAATATAAGATATCGTCAACCTTATGACCATTCATTTTTCTTGACATAGTTCCCTGAACTTTCAAGATAGTTATTATCTCATGATTAGTGTGCAAAGTCTAATGCTTTTGCTTAACTGATTACCCACCTTACTGATTTAGCATTTGAAACAAATTCAACCACTCAACTATGAGTCAAATCATATACACAAGTTTTTATATAGAGTTTCTTTATAAATATGAGGAATTTTAGTGTTCCGCTTTGTACATTCATAAATTTTGGTTTTCATATAACAGAGTGAACAAACTGTAGAGGTGCTCATAATCTTGTCAAATAACTTTCTAGTGGTTTTACCCACGAGACCATACTTGTAGATGGACAAATAATTAGTACACATACCAAGGAGGTCGCCTCTAGGAAAGCCTTCACTTGTCTTCTAATGTGACTTAGTCTACTAGATCGTTAATCAGATCTAATCTTAATTCACGACAAAAGTAGAAGATAATCCATTTATCTAGTAATGAGTTACATTCTAAAATCAACTAAGCGATTAGCTTGGCTTGTATAAGTAGAGTATTCTTAAAGCAAACCTAAGTAAGTTACCCACAAATGGAAACCAACTAGAATACCACAAGCTTAGTTACCAAGAGACAATTCCTTACTCTTTATGAGAGCGTATAGAATATCCTAAAAAATCTATTTGTTCCCTTAACTTAAAGGAGACATCTATGCATCAGTGCCCAACAACGCTGCATAATCCCTATCTAGATATTTCTACTCCTATTCAGGACTCTACAAATATTGTCTCTGTCCTGCAAATGCACTCCATGAGTCTCGAGTTTCCTCGATTGTACGTCCTCATGTGCGAATGATCATCTTGTTTGTAATCAAATTAATTGATCTTTCTCTTATTAGTTAAGTTTTTCACCTTTTAATTGAATTGTTTTATTTCAGAACCTATCCAGAAAATCTCCTGATGTACTCATTGCAGCTAGGCTCTCATCCTTGTACCTCAGGTATTTGGCTACTAATGTTGAAGTAGACATATTCTTAGGCTAGCATGCACATGTACATTTGCCTTATAGCTCCATTTTCGTTTGCACATCCTTGGATGTAATTGCATCTAGGACATGTGATTAAAAAGTAGCCACGTGTCAATCTAGAAGTTGCATAAAGTTGTGATAACCGTTCGGATCTGTTGCTTCCAACTTAATGTAGTTCTAACTATCTCATGATCCCTGGTCATTAATATTATCATTCAAAGGTGAATTCAATGTTCTACCTAGTGGTTATCTCGTTTAAATACAACTAAATAACATGAACTCAGATCCTCATCAAAGAGACACACCCGAATCTCGCAATAAGAGCATCTCAGAAACTTTTTGCGTTTAGATTATCCTAGTAGTTATTGATAAGATCACTCTTCTTTGCAGTCCACCTAATAAACCACATCGAATAAATCTTGTCACTTCCAGATCTTGTACTTATTGGCTCAAATCTCTAAGTCTGAATTGAACCCCGTTCTATCTCGGATATTACTGCCTCAGTACTCATCAAAATCTCCTGCTTTTAGGAGAAAATAGATCATGCGGCAAAAGTATCTCAAACTACTCAGCCCCAGACTGACATCAGAATAATTATTT